TTAGAAGAACGGAATAGAGAATTGGAGAGTAATTTAGAAGATATGCATTATTTCATTAAAACTTTAGAAGAAGAAAAAACACAAGAAATAAGCAGTTTAAAATCACAACTAGCTTCTTACATTACCGTAATAAATGCATGCAAGGATCAATTGATAACTCTCGAAAAAGCAAGGACTGATGATAAATACACTCACATTGCATCAACTATAAACATTGATGAAAAATATAAAAATATGCGACTTATGCTCATTTCGCAAATTAAACTTTTGAGTAATTATATTTTATTATATAAATATCTTGTCGGAATATATGGTTCGGCAAAAAAAAAAAAACTAAAACGAGACTATAGTCATTTTCTCCAGTTTTTGGACTCTGACGAGGTACTATTGAAGACGATCGGTTCTTATGGAAGTTCGTGTGACTATTAAAATTTAAGTCATTTAGAGTAAGAAGCTGATAATACGGTACTAATTCTGTGATTTATTAGTTTCATAAACATGTATAAAATCAATAATACTCGATTTTTATTAAAAACTGTGATTTTAATGTTATTACATACTTAAAAGTTTGATTGTCAATAGAGATGATAATTTCAGAGAAAAAAATTGTAATTTTTTAATATACAAAATATTATAATATTAAAAGAATGCGTACTTATTTACAGCACTTATATAATAAAAATATCACGAATTTAATAATGTATTATCGAAATATTTATGTTAACAAATTTTTATTAATTATCGATAATCATCGTTCTTCAATTATTCCCGGGCTTCTGGGGTTCCACTGATAAATTTGCCCAGGATCGACCGTCTTTAATTAAAGTATCTCTTTGGTGCAGATACCATTGTAACTTTTGATGTCATTTATTTAGAATATTTTCATTTTTATATGTTAAGGTGCCAAAACTAATATTTTAGAAGATTACAAATCCATACAACATATTCTGGAAAAAAAACTAGATATGAGAAATCAATTCTTAATTAATGAAAAAGAACAGGTAGCAAAAAATTTGTGTAAAATTGAATCTAAATTCAAGATTGACAAAGAAAGGTAAATAAATTTTGTTTCCTTATTGCAAAGTTATAGGAAAATTATATAAATTTCTTATTTGACTAATGTATCTTATATAGATTCAAAAAGGAATTATATAATCGCGTGTTGGATCTAGTTAGTATATTTCAAGTTGAAATATCAAAGCATATGCCGTGTTCCATACCCAATTTATTGTCGGAAAATATAGCTGTAAAGAAACAGTTGTTAATAATCATGGAAAACGCAGCTTCTAAAACACAAGATTATAGCCTGCTCTCGTAAATTAATTTATATTTTTATATTTTTATATACACACACATGTGTGTGTGTGTGTGTGTGTGTGTGTGTGTGTGTGTGTGTGTGTGTGTATGTATATAGAGGATGTCTCATTAGAAATTTAATTCAGACACAATTATCTTCCAAATTATTCGTTATTCCAAAAAATGTTTCAATTGGAATTTACTTTTGAGAGGAACATCTTTTGATAGTCACAGATCCTCTCTAGGTAGACTCCAAGATAACTTTTATTTTTTTATATAGTTTTTTTTACATAAAACAATTCCTCTAATTATTCTGCATATAAAAACATATTAAATTAGCGACACCAAAAAATCAATAGTTTACGAAATATGTTATACTTTGTTCTGGCACACATTGATATGAAATATTAAATATTTCATAATATATCAGTCTCTTTTATAATCCTTAATGCTTTTACGAACAGAATAATGAGATGAATTGTAATGGCGATAAACAAAATTCATAGTTGTTTTAAAAAACATATGTAGGTAATTTTTTAAATAACCAATTATGAATTTTCTTTACATCTGATTCATCTCATTATTCTGTCCATAAAAGTATTAAGATACGATTATAAACAAATTTAATAGTTTACGAAATATTTAATATTTCATATCAATATTTCAGATATGCGAGAACAAAGTATAAAATATCGAAAGAGTTCCGTAGCACACATCTCGATAGCACACACTCACTCACACATCAGCCAGTGTTTAGTATTTTTCACTGCTTTACTAATGAAAATATTTGATTTTAAATTGGCCAATCAACTATGTACGCTATCGGATCTCTCTCTAAAATGTCTTGTAGACTATTGATTTTTTGATATCTCTATCTTAATACTTTTATATGCAGAATAATTAAAGAAATCTCATATTTATTAAAAAAAACTATATAATTTAACTTAAAAAAATAAAAATCACCTTGAAATCTTGGAGGTACATTTATGGAGAATCTGTGACCATTAAAAGATATCCCTCTTGAAACAAAGTACCACTTGAAATATTTTTTGGAATAACGAATAGTTTGGAAGATAATTACTTCCAAAAGCTACAAATAGAACACCTTGTATATATTTAAAAGTCTATTTTTAATTTAACGCATTTTTATAAATTACATTGTGACATTTATTATTTCGTAGGAATGCAGCAAAAGAATACAAAAGAGAAATCCGTAATATATATTTACGCCCGATAAAATCTAAAATAATTTCTGAATTAGAAAAATCTATAATCACAATGTTACGTGATGTTTGCAAAGCAACGAAAGTTAAATTATCCACATTAGACAAATTTAATTATTTTACTGAAGAGCAATATATGATGAATAAAGATAATGCTAAAATTCTAGCGCAGAAATGTGAGATGCGCATGAAATATATAGAACTGTTACTTTACTGCGAAAAAGAAAAACTCAGCGTTGCAGAGCATCGGAAGGAATGGATATCTGACCAATTGCAAGAACAATTGCAAATTTTATACGATGTTAAATATGTGTTAAAAAAATTCAAAAATAAAAAATAAATTATCATAAACAATAAAAATGAGATTTAAAAAAATTTAAGTAAGACCTCTAAAAGATGACTAAAATGAAGTGTAACAAAATAAATCAAAATCGAATAAGAAATAAAAAATTATAAAAGCAAATAGAGAGAGGGAGGAGGGGAGGAGTTTTAAACATATATACATATTTATGAAATTAATAAATCATAAAATTAATAATTTACCAATTATTATACCAATTATTTTTAATTTACTAATTATTACCAATTATTTATTTAGATGTATCAACGAATTCAGTCACTTGTACTACACTGTTAGTACATACTAAAAGTTACTATACATGAAATTAGCAAAGTTAAATGTAAACTTAATATATATATTTTTTAAACAATTAATAATCTACTAATGATATTGTCACATTATTTAACAAAATATACATATATCATTTCATCAAAGATGATTATATTGTCACTGCATTGAGATATTTTAAATAAAACAGCTTTCAATATGCACTGGTCCAATATAGAGCGAGTGATCGAATCACCACTAATCACTTAAATTTTAAGTTATTCAAACTTTCGTAAGACCGGCCGTCTTTAATAGTATCTCGTCGGTACCTTCAACCTGTCTTTGAGATTATATAAGATCTATGTAATTATTCCTATTTATACAGATATTAAAT